CCCCCCGCAATCCTGCCCCATGAGTCAGCTTGAAGCCATGGTCTAGAGCCAGACTGGCTGAGTGGCAGAGGAGTGAGTCTTAGAGCGTCTGTTTGACGGGGTAGGAACTGAGAGAGCTCTGGGGTTAATGAGCAGATGCCAGGCACGCAGGGGTCAAGTAGGGCATCATGTCATCACCTGGCTTCCCCAGGGCAAGGGCTCAGTAGGGCAACTGGGATGACCTGGAAGCGGGGTGCTAAGGAAAAGGCCCTACCCGAATTAGTGCAGGTTGTACCTTTTGACAATACTGACATTGGTGTTCTGCTCTTTCTGGCCATCCCACCCACCACAGGAAGCCAAAATTTTCTTAGGGATCTCAATTCTAATGACAACTTGGTGAAATAGGAAAGTGTGGGGTGCAATGATGGGAACTTGGTGTAGGAGAGATTAACAGTCCCTGGGTACAAATCTCTTTGTCCCTGCCTCCCCCCACCCCCACCTCTGTTGTTGCTGATTCTCCCTGTAGGATTAATCTCTGTGCTTCTCTCATGCGGGAAGTTTTTCTCTGCTCTGTAAGGACTGCTGCCCAGATTGCCAGGGCTTGCATTCCACTTTTTTTGAGCCCTGCTATGTGTTTACCCCTGTGCTTGGAGTTGGGTAGGGGCGTGGGACCTTTTTCCTCAGGAACCCATGGTGAGACTAGAAGATGCCTTACTCACAGAAGCAAGCAGAACTGTCACTGGATTACAGGAGGTAGTGACACTGTCATAGGCAAAGTCTCAAAGGAGGGAGAGGTGTTTATGGTCTGGGGTGGACAGAGCTGACTTTCTGGAGGGGACAGCATTTGGCCTAACTAAGGAAGAAGAGTAGGGCTTGGGTAGGCATACAAGGGGCACTCCTCAAAGGGAAAAGGGCATTGTGGATGGCAGGCAACACAGTCTGAGAGAAGGCTGACCATGGGGGCAGTTAGCGTGTAGCTTGATATTCCCCTCGCCCTACTATGGCTCCTGAGGGTGGAGTAGTCAGTGAAGATTATCTTGTGCCCTGGCAGAAAAGCAGTGGTTTGGGTTTTTGGGTGTTGGGTGTATGAGCACTGGGGGAGGGGTGTGGAGAGGTACTCCTAGTTGCTTCCAGCTGACTGACTGCTGCTGCCTTATCTCTAGTTTGCAGAGCCTGGCCGGGAGGGGTAGGCCCTGGAAAGTGCCTTCTGGCAGTGCCCCTTCCCCCTCCCACCACTTGTTTTTAGTTGGATTTGTTGCTTGTTGTTAAAGAGAGACTGCTGGAGGCCATTGGTAGTTCAGGGCTGAAGGGCCAGCTTTGAGCTGACCTGAGGTTTATACCTCTGAGGAGAGCTGATGGGGTGTGACTGTCTGTAAGACCTCTGCCCTTAGTGCTCTAGGTGGCACCTGTCTCTTTGGAGACAGGCATATGGGAAGGAATTGTGCAATTCGGTGGCCTTGAGTAAGAGAGATGACTTCTTGCCTTGGCCATCTCTCAGTCTACATGGTCTCTTGGCTCTTGGGGGTATTTCCTGCCTGCTCCCATTTAGGGTAGGAGTCCCCAAGATGGTGGCCCTGACAAGCAGTCATGCTGGCTCAACTTACTTCTCACATCCTATTACACTGAGCCAAGACTTGCCTCTCTCTGACTCCTTAGGCAGCCTAACTCTGCCTTCTGGGCCCTAGATCCCAAATCTGCCCCTTCAGTTTCTGAAGAGCCCCTCACATGGGCAAACTCTTTTAGCCCACAGTTGGTGAGGGGCTTTAAACAACTGGCTCCAGGGATCCTGGCTTATGTCTGTTCTTCTCTCCTCAGGGTCCATCTGAGCCCAGGAGCTGCACGGAATGGTGGCAGTCACCTTGCCAGTGCAGCGGGCATGGACCAGACTGCAAGCTAGGGGAGCAAGGCATCAGTCAGGAAGAGCGGACACACAGCTAGGCTTGAGGCCTCTTCATCGGGGTAAGTGCCAGGGAGAGCGATGGGGAGGCCAGTAAGAAACCTGAGCTAAACATGTCACCCTCTCAGGAGTTCTGATAGTGGTCTCTATATTCCATTAGTCCATCTGGGGATTTAGACACATTCACCCCCAAGAACCCCTCAAGGTCACCCCTTCAGGTCAGGAGAGGGTCTGAAACTTAGCTGGAAGGAAGAAGACTTATTGATTCCCCTGACCAAGCTTTTCTTCTCTTCTCTTGCACAGATGTCCCCAGGCCCCCCAGCCCAGGCCCAGCATAAAGGCCGTGTGGGGGGGCCCCCCTGACCCAAGGGGGGGCTTCATGCGCCACGTGCAGGCGGAGCCGTCTCCATCCTCAGAGCCAGAGGCTGGCCCTTCACAGCCTCCAGTCAGGCAGGGGGCTCTCCAGGGTGGCCTGCTCATGGGCTACAGCCCAGCAGGGGGGGCGACATCCCCCGGGGTCTACCAGGTATCCATCTTTTCCCCTCCAGCTGGTGCCTCTGAGCCTCACAGGGCCCTGAAGCGACCGGCCCCACCCACTGAGGGTCCCCGGGAGCTGAAGAGAGGCCCTGGGCTGGGGGCCAGAGAGGGACTACCCCCCGAAGAACCATCTACGGTGGGGCTATTGGGCCCAGAGGGACTGGGGCTGGGACTGGGTGTGGCCAGCCAGCATTTCTCCCATCGTGGCCTCTGTGTTGTGGAACAGGGAGGTAGTGCCACCTCATCTTGGACTTCAGGGGCCCAGAGTCCCCCCTGGCCCCCATCAAATGCTTCCTGCAATACTTTGCACACCAGAGACTGGGCTTCCCCAGATCCAGGGGGACAGGGGTCCCTGGGGGAGTCCCCAGGGCCAGCCCCTCCGGGCCAGCTGCACACACTTGACACTGATTTGCACAGTCTTGCACAAATAGGGAGTAAGAGCCCAGTGGCTGGGGTGGGCAACAGGGGAAGTCCCTGGCCTAGGGAGTCCCCTGGCACTGCCAATGGGCACAGTCCCGAGCACACACCCCCTGGCCCTGGACCTCCAGGCCCCTGCCCCACCAAGCGAAGGCTGCTTCCTGCTGGAGAAGCCCCAGATGTCAGCTCTGAGGATGAGGGGCCAGCCCCTCGGAGGCGCCGGGGAACCCTGGGCCACCCTCCTGCTGCCAACAGTTCTGATGCCAAAGCCACACCCTTCTGGAGCCACCTGCTGCCCGGGCCCAAGGAGCCTGTTTTGGTAAGCCAATAGAGAAGCTCATCTACTGTATTATTTTTCCTATTGTCTCCTCCTCTGAGGTAATCATCTACTCTTAAGTGGGTATTTGTGTAGGTGAAAGTGGAGACCTGGGTGGTGTTCCTTTGAGAATTTATGATGAGCCCCTGTCCCAAAATATACCTGGCTTTTACTCAATCTGTTTTCCCAATCTTTCCTCTCCATAGGACCCAACAGACTGCAGTCCCATGGGGCGGAGGCTGAAAGGTGCCCGTCGCCTGAAGCTGTAAGTGACCAGCTTTTTCCTCTACCCTGTCCTTGAGAATGGGGGCAGAAGTCTGCAATCCTCTTTCCAACACCAGAGTGGGGGACCCTAGGGCAGGAGCTCTAGGTAGTAGCAAAGGGTGGGGTCCAAGGACATGAACAGGAATCCCAGAATACCTCACACCAACCTGATGTGTTCCCTCCCCTACTAGGAACTCCCTTCGAAGCCTCCGGAAGGGACCAGGCCTGCTGAGCACCCCCAGTGCCTCCCCCGTTCCTACCCCTGCTGTCAGCCGTACCCTGCTGGGCAACTTTGAGGTAGCTTCCCTTGGGCTCCGTGACTGGGGGGTAGTGGGAGGAGTGGGATGGTGGAATGTGGCTTGGGTGGATAAGGAAAAGAATTACCATCTCTCTCATGACATGTTTTCCCCACCCTAACTCCAGGAATCATTGCTGCGAGGACGCTTTGCACCATCTGGCCACATTGAGGGCTTTACAGCAGAGATTGGAGCTAGTGGGTCCTACTGCCCCCAGCATGTCACGCTGCCTGTCACTGTCACCTTCTTTGATGTTTCTGAGCAAAATGCCCCGGCCCCCTTCCTGGTATGACCTGATCCCAACTTCAAAGTGAGCTCATCAGGAGGATGAAGGGTTAGGGGCAGTGGGCAGGGGGCAAGAGGTGGTTCTTATTTGTTCCTCACCTAGGAGTGAGTCAGGGCCAGGTGGGGAGAACTCCAGTGTGGGGCAGGGGCAAGTTTAGAGTGAGAGATTGTGGAGGGGGAGGAGTATTCAGGGCTCAGGGCTTTCCTAGTCCCCACCTTGGCTGATGGCTCCATGGCCTTCCCAGGGCGTCGTGGACTTGAACCCCCTGGGGAGGAAGGGTTACAGCGTGCCCAAAGTGGGCACCATCCAAGTGGTGAGTTTGCCCTGAGGGAGTGGGAGTGGGGAGAGAGGGAAATAGCCCCCAGGCCCTACCAACCTTGAGTGTCCTGCCCCCAGACCTTATTTAACCCCAACCAGACTGTGGTGAAGATGTTCCTCGTGACCTTTGACTTCTCGGACATGCCTGCTGCCCACATGACCTTCTTGCGCCATCGCCTCTTTTTGGTGCCTGTGGGTGAGGAGGGGAATGCTAGCCCCACCCGCCGCCTCCTCTGCTACTTGCTGCACCTCAGGTGAGGACAGGGCCCAGGGACAGGTAGGGAGGCCCAGGTATCCCTTTCCTGAATAGGATCTCTCTTTGCTTCTCTACTGTCTGAATTCTTAGTGTGATCACACTGTTTTCCACCAGGTTCCGAAGCTCCCGCTCAGGCCGCTTAAGCCTGCATGGAGATATCCGCCTGCTTTTTTCCCGCCGGAGCCTGGAGCTGGACACAGGGCTCCCCTACGAACTGCAGGCTGTGACTGAGGCCCCTCACAATCCACGTTATTCACCTTTGCCCTGATTGCCAGCACTCTGAACCCACGTGGGCCGACAACCTGCCCATCCTGCTCCATCCTGGACAGAGTACAAATGTGGAGAGATGGCAAGAGACCTTTCAGGCTTGAATTAAAGCCCTAGCCATGCTCATGCCCAAATTGATTATTTGGGTGTTTAAAGCTTCTGATCCTTACTATACCCTGCCCTACTCCGGGTACTCCAGGTGCCTGTCCCTTCCTTTGGGTTTCCCAGGCCAGCTTAGGTAGGAGGAACCAGAGCTACCCTGAGGTTGTCCCAAGTTCCCAGGCAAGTCATGCCAGCATTGCCTCCCTGTCCTGGGCAGGGGCCACTTATTATTTTATTTATTTTTAATTTATAATTTATTCAAATTGGATTGCCTTGGTAACCTCCCAAACCTGATAATTGGCGTCACCTCTCCTCCTTTCCCACTGTCAGACATTGCTCCAACCTCAGGAGTTGAAGAGGCATGTGAGGGGGCAGGAGTAGAACTGCCCTCCCTCAGCTGAGGGCAGAGGGGTTATTCCAGAGGGACTGAGTCGCTAGCCAAAGACTCAGCTTCCCCTGTCCTTCCACAGTCCCTTCACTTTCCCTACCTTCTGACCCATCTCTGAAAGCCGACTTATGTGTATGTGTGTGCACAAGCCAGTGTTTGTGTGGGGTGTGTGTGAGAGAGAGCATGCACGCACGCACACGCACAGGGTTAGCCACCCCTTACCTGGGGCTCCAGACTCCAGCTGTCCCTTTCCTCCTGCCTGCGTCTCCTTGCTTTGGGGTCCTGACTGAGGAAGGTGTCCAGGGGGCAGAGTCAGGGCCAAGGACTGGGTCCCTCCTCTCACCTGGCCAGACTCTGACCCACCTACCTCAGCTGGGGTGAGGGGTGCCCCTCAAACTCAGTCATGTGGTTCCCAACTACCCCATTCCCCACCCCAGACTCTAACCCAGCCTCAGTCTTGACTCCTGGGGCTGGGCTGAGGGGAACAAGCATTTGCTGAAACTTGAAAAAACAAAACAAAATGAAAAAAACAGGAAAAAATTGTACCTGGTACTTTTTCTAGAAA